GGTGAATTTTGGAGTTGTACGATATTGGAAATCACAAAATCCTACCCTTTCAAGTGAAAGATTCTGAAACCAAGTTCAACATAGTGACCTGAAAACATGTAATTTTGTAATTTCAATGAAAACAAAGAAATCGTGAAAAAGTGAGGCTACCCCAGAAGCCTCAGAAAACAAGTCATAAACAATCTAAAATAAAATTTAAATGAAAAAAAAAATTTTTTTTTTTTGAGTTGAAGTCTCACTCTGTGGCCCAGACTGGAGTGCAGTGGCTGCTCCTGGCCACCGCCGCCTCGACCTGCTGGGCTCCGGCGATCCTTCTGCCTCAGCCTTCCAAGTAGCTGGAATTACAGGCGCACGATACCACGTCCGGCTAATTTTTTTGATTTATTGTAGAGATGAGGTCTTGCTCCCCATGCGGGTCTCGAACCTGCAGGCTCAGGCAATCCACTCACCTTGGCCTCCCAAAGCGTGGGATTACAGGCTGAGCCACCCAGCCCAGCCGAAAAAAAATTTTTTTCATATGTTAGGATAGAAAAGGACTTCCTAGGCATAAAGGCAAAAATGTTAAAACAAAACAAAACAAAAAACCATAAATTTAAAAGTTAAGCATATCAGAAACAACATTTAAAAGCAAATAATTGGGAAAATATTTGCAACAAATATGATACATAAAGGAACAACATCCTTAACATATGCAGACCAGTAAATAATGAGTCAGTAAACAATAACAGCAAACACTCCAATAGAAATTAGGCAAAGGATACCAAGCAGGTAATTCCAGAAGAAAAATGGTCAAAAACATTCGGAAAAATGTATACTCTATTATAATTTTAAAATGCTGGTTATGAGACATCCTCTTGATTCAACATATTAAAGATTAAGTTATAATTATACTCAATACTGGAAAGTTGTAGAGACACTCTCATGTTTTACTGGTAACAGAATAAGTCCAATCTTTTTGATAGTCATTTGTCAATACACATCTAAATCATTCAAAACATACTCTTTGATTTGAAATAGCTAGTGGCTGTCAAAGTGTGTTTGTGGACTCCTGGAGTCCCTGAGATCCTCTCAGGGGCTGCAAGGTCAAAACTTCTATTTTCATTAAAATAATAAGACACTATTTGCCTTTGCTCTGTGTTGTCATTTACACTAAGGTGCAAAATTACCAGCTCCTGAGCACAAATTGAGGCCAGGCACTATAGCTGCACCAGTAGTCACTGTATTCTTCACTATCACACTCTTGGAAGAAAAAAAAAGGTTGTTTCACTTAAGAATATTGCGTACTAATTTTATTAAACCTCAACCATTGTATACACACCTTTTAACATTCAGTATGACAAAATAGGAAGTAAATACAAAGCACGTCTACCTCACATCGAAGTATGATGGTTGTCTCCAGGGAAAGCACTTGCATGATTATTTGAGAGCTGAACTAGCCACTTTTTCTATGGAACACCATTTTTACTTGAATAAATGATGAACAAAGTATGATTATTCAGATTTAAGTATCCGGCAGACATTTTCTCAAAAATAAATAATGTGATACTGTCATTTCAAGGAAAACAACTGATAGTGTGCGTTGTCAGTGATAAAATTTGAGCTTTCAAGGGAAAATTCAAATACTAGAAAGCTCATATCCATCACCATAATATAAGCTTGACAGCTTCCAATCTTAGACTTATGAGATAAGTGATGATACAAACAAACGTGATTTTTGATATTGTATAATCAAAGGTGACATTTCTAAGATTTGCATGACTCACAATCAACATTTTACAAATGGAAATGCATGATGGTAAAAATCAGGTATGAGCAAAAGATCCATTCAAAGTTCAAAACAGGCCAATGAACTGTAACGTAACATACTGCAAAAAGTTCCTTGATCTGGTCTCTAATTTCAAATTGAAATAAATCTTTTAAGAAAAATACTACTTGTTGAGTTTTATATAATAACAAGTATAGCCATGATGACCTGAAAAGCCTATTAAATTACTCAATGCTTTTTTTTTTGAGTTGGAGTCTCACTCTGTCACCCAGACTGAAGTGCAGTGGCCGCTCCCGGCCACCGCAGCCTCGACCTGCTGGGCTCCAGCAATCCTTCCCCCTCAGCCTTCCGAGTAGCCAGAATTACAGGCGCGCACTACCACGCCCGGCTGATTTTTTGATTTATTGTAGAGATGAGGTCTCGCTGCCCAGGCGGGTCTCGAACCCGCGGGCTCAGGCAATCCACCCACCTCAGCCTCCCAAAGGTGCGGGATTACAGGCTGAGCTACCCAGCCCGGCTCTCATTGCTTTTCCAACTACATATCTATCTGAGGCTGGAGCTTCTTCATAGTCTTTAATAAAAATAACATACTGTAACAAAGAGATTTGCAAAAGTGTAAAACAATGTCATTTTCTCACTACAGTTTTGAATTTATGGTTATCATTCATAAAAATATGTTAACAAGTAATTAGTTTACTATTTTTTAATAAATTGATAAGTAAATATTTTTAGATATTTCTCAATTTTAATTTATATTTTGGCAAATATCAAAAGATGTAACTCACATAAACCAAAGTTACTTGGTGGTCTTCAATACTTTTTTAGAGTGCAGAGGGACGTATAAACCCAAAAGTTTGAAAACTGATAATATGGCCTTTCCCCACTTCTGATAGTCTAAAGTAAGAAAATAAGCGTTATCTCTTGGCATTATAGATGTGTGAAAAAAGTTGTATCAAAAAGTTAAAGAAAACCTTTGATGTTCAACAACAAGAAAATGGATGGTACATAAAAAATATGATATGATTGGTTATTTGAAACAAATTCTGAAGGATATTTTTATGATGAGAAATGCTCACAATATATTGGGGAGAAAGCAAGATATACACTATATGAGCAGAGACAGTAATGTACTGAAAAAAAAAGACTAGAAGGAAAAAAACAAACTCACTGTAAGTGAAAGTCACACACCAAAAAATAATAGCTATTTATTATTAATATTAGAACTAGTCAAGGCAGCTTAATATGGAACTCTGAACTGCATCAAGAAACTTATATTCTAGGCACTGTTTGGCCATTAAATATCTCTTGAGATTTTTGGCAAGTCACTTAACCTCTTTAAACTACCAGAAATTCTCTCTGAGGTTCTTACCCAACTGATTCTCTGATAAAATGAACTATAACACCTAAATGGTGTTCAATACCTTTGCAAGAATCATTTAAGGTAAATCAGGGCTACAGTGAAAATTAGGAAACCAACACCAATACAAACTATTTACAGAATTTGGATTCAACCAACTAAATACTTCTTTAATTTCTTCTTTTGAAGTAGTCTGGCTTCTCTAAATAAAGCTTGCTGTGGAAAGAGTTAATTAGTTATTTCCTGAATGGTATTTGGGAAAAGTGAAAAATATTGGTTATATCATGAATAAGAAAAGAGTATAAGAGAATAAGCTAGACAGCATGGTACCCACCAGGAAGGGAACCTTTTGTAAGTATTGATAAGAGTACTGGGAGAAGGCAAGGAATTTGCTATGGGAAAAAGAAGAAGGGAAAGAGAAGAGAAGGCGAAAGAGCAACAAAAACTATACATGTATATAATGAGAGCAGAGTATTAAAATGTATGCTCTATCTTAAAACTGCCCAAAAGAATTGACTTATCCCCTTGACCAGCCTTTACCCATTCACTGTTCATTTACAGAACTGAAAAGAATTAATGACAGAAAATTAAATTCCAGTTTGTCAATTTTGTTGCTTGTTAGCAAGTCTGACAAAATCCTAAAGTCTATAATAAGGATAAAATATTTTCCTACATTAAGTCTTATTGAAAAGAGACCCCTTCATTTGACAAACTAGGGAATCCGAGTCCTCCAAAGAACTGAAGTCATAAAAGATCTTCAACTTATGCTTCAGCTTGCACTTTAACACCCATTAACCATCCAATAACCACACTTTCCTCAAGAAAATACTTCTATGGTGGTGTATGCTCAAGGGCTACACATGAAGGAAGGGGAAGCTCTCCATTAGAGATAACCAAGCTCAGTGCCATGAAACAAATGGGTACAGGTTTGGACTTCGTTTCCAATTAGAAAAAAAGTAAATAAACATTCTATACTTTTAGCACAGCATAACCACAATGACCTGGTTGTCCTGAACTGGTTCTTCATATAACATTTGGGTCTCAGTTACCACATCTTTAAAATGAGGACTATATATTACATAATAATTCCCAAAGTCCTTTCTTAGAAAGTTGGATAATCCTCAAATCACTGGGAAAAAAAAGTGTCTGGGGGAGGAAGGAAGTATAAATACCCTGGAATGTGTATATTTAATATATACACATATACATATATGTATATAAATGTAGTATGTGTGTGTATATATGGGGAGAAAAACGCGTGTAAGTGTGTATATGCATATGTATATATAGAAGCATTCAGATCTGGTAGTTCAAATGGCCAATGAGTGGAGACTAGAATCCCGAAGGTACCCAGCTCTCTGACTGGATTGGGAACCCACTTCATTGCACAGACTATAATAGGAGTCACTTCCAACAGTATGAGGCCCCTTTAGGCCTGTGCTCCCTTGTTTGTTTCAAATGGCCATTTGGAAGAGGCCCCCCAATGCCTCCTTTTGAATCTACAATTCATATTTCCACTTTGAATGAATGATGGCATCCATCATTCATTCCTAGTATCTGTCAATTAACCTTTGGACATTTGTGGAGCACCCACTAGGTGCAGCCATCACCTAGTACATATCAAGTTTTCAGTAAACGTTTGTTGCCTTGAGTTTAGTTGCAAAGCCTTGGAAGGTTGCAACGGACTCATTGGTTAGGAGTTTTGTGTAGAAAGCAGGTTAAGGAAGAAACCTATTTCTCCACGCTTGACAATCTAACTCCTGACACTCGTGTTCCTCCCCACTCATGTGTGACACGTGGTTCCTAAGCGCTGCCTGGGCGGCCCAGGCACTGCCGCTGCAGGCAAGCGACTGCGAGAGGGGAGAGATGGACACTTACCTGGGGAACCTCTGCTTCAGCTTCCTCAGGCTCTGCCTGGTGGGCGGCACAGACACTAGGCACTGGGCTATCTCGTCGTACTGGGCTTTGGTCAGTATCATGTTGGGCCAGGGACCAGAAGGTAGCGGGGCAAGGAAAAAACACCCTAGGGCTCGAGCAGCCTTGGTGCCGGGGAATGAGGGGTACGCACACAGAGGCACGCCCGGGGTCTTCGCCTTCCTTGGTTTGCCCCGATCCCCCCGTGAAAGCACACTCCTAGCGGCAAAGGCGGGGCTGCTACTCGCTGGGTCGCAGGCTTCACCCGGCACCTCCGCCGCGGGGGCGGGCTGTATACGGATTGCCCGAGCTCTGCTTACTGAGCAGCCGCAGTGGGCCCACCCGAAGGCAACTAGCCGCCATGTCAGTTAAGGGCAAGCAAAGCAGGAAGTACCCGCCTCGCTGGGAAAGGGCACTGAGCCGGAGTCTCAGCCGGCGGCTGTCCCGGGCAGCGCTCACCCGGGATCGATAAGGGGTTCCCGTGGAGTTCACAATCTCCAAGGTACTAGACTCCCAGGAACCTGGCGCACAGGCCGGGCGGCAGGTCTCACGGAGGCCCCGCGATCCTTCAGCTGGAGCCCCCGAAAAGCCACAGCTAAAGCGCGCGATTTGAATTCGTCTCCAAACGCGCGGGTTTCAGCGCAGTCCCAGCGGAGACCGGCCTGCAAAGAAACTCTTGTCTCCGCTCCACCAGCCCCTCTCCCCTCTGCGAGCGTGACCGAATGGGAGAACCTACTAGGATCGCTGTAAACACAGTTTGACTTGTGCTGAGGAGGTCCTGCAACTTCCGTAAATCGTGTGAAAGGCAGTTTTGTCCTTGTCGGGAAACAGACATAACAAATCCGACATCATCAAACAGCCTGCAGTACAGAATTGTCACTTGCACGCCTTCCAATTAGCTGCTCTAGAACTGAAATCGTGTATTATTGTCTTTGTAACCCCAGCTCTCAGGAAATACTAGGCGCTAATAAGTGTTTGGAGGAATGAGTCCATCTTTTTTGTTTTCCATAGGTTCTATGAGTGGATCTCAGATCTCCTAAGCTAATATATTAGAACATCAGTCCCTCCTTTAATCTCCTTTTAAAAGGTCATGTGTTGTGTTTTCTTTCTTCTAATTTTAACCTTTAAAGCAAACGCAAGAAAAAGTGCTTAGATTTTAGAGAACATGTAAGTAGTTAAAATTTTTTTCATCTGGAATAAAACTTAGGTGGGAAGTTTACCTTAGATATCCTCCTTGGAAAAATTCTCTAATCCATTTGAGCTTCGTTTTCTTTGTCTGTAAAACTAATTTTTTAATTCATGGGCTGTTTTTAAGATTGAATGGGGGCTGGGCACAGCGGCTCACACCTGTAATCCCAGCACTTTGGGGGGCCACGGCACCAGGATTGCTTGAGCCCAGGACTTTGAGACCAGCCTGGGCAACACAGCAAGTCTCCATCTCAAAAAAAGAGAAGATTAATAAGATAGTACAAAAAAAGGATTACTTAGCATAGTATTCGGCAGATACTCTATGTAAGCTTAAGTAAAACTACTTGATAAAAATGGACAGGGTGTTTACTAGGTATTGTTTTACAGACGACTCATGCATAGATTCACTTAATCCTCATAATTTCCTGTGAAGTAGGTACAACCGCCATTATCATCCTCCTCCCTTTTGTACAGAGTGAATAAACTGAAAAGGTTAAGGAACTTCCAGAGGTCATGAGATTAAATAAATAGCAAGAATAAGGTTTAAACGCCTGAATTTAGTTTCACAGTCAGTGTTCTTGCCAACCCTGAGTAATGCTTAATTACTATATCACATAGCCACACTCTCTTAAGCCAAAGGTTAAGAATTTTTTTTTTATGAGAATATTCTACATTTCAAAGAATTGTTTAGCCCAGGTTTTCAAAAGCTTCACCTTATTTTCTAAGGCATCTCAAAACCCAGTATCAGCCATGGATCCTGAAGTCAGTAACTATCGTTTCTTTTTTTTTTTTCTTAATATTTACATCAGAATGTTTTCTTCCCATGTGCTTTGTATCTAGCTCTGGTTGTGTGACATTAGTACATAACTATTTATTTATGGCAGCCTGGCCTGGAGTTGCCACCTGGCTAGTTTGTTGCTGACCCTGCCATGACTTTTACATGAAAGCTAGCTGACGATAAGCAGACTCCACTTCATCCCCATTCCTTTCCCCTCCCCAGCTTCACTCTTTCCCATTCACAGCCATCAGATTTTTATAGAAAACATCAGTCCAATGATGTTTGCACTGGTTATTTTTATAGCAACTCTTCTCTCTGGCTCTTGTCCTGCATCCACCCTCACAACTCTTTAAGAAAAATGCCAGGTTTGTTTTCCTGTTTTTATTTTTAACATACTGGCAGTTTACAATTTGGACCCAAATCCAGTAGATTGTTTAGTTAGTGCTGGGAGAAAAGCACAATTATGTTGCTGTTTTCATTGGCAGTGACAGTGGTGTTGTTTATTAGGCACAAAATAGAAGTAAAGCAGAAATGTTTTGATGTTGTTTAATTGGGTTTTTTTTTTTACTCCTTGTAATGTGAAATAGCTGGTGTAAGCTGATTATTTCTCTGAGGTATCCTTTCTCCCTCCACTTCCCTCCTCCAACCTGCTCCTATCTTTCGTCACATCTTATGCCCCTCGCTTGCTATTACTTCCAGAACCACCTCTCCGTGCCTGAAGTTCCCCACTATTCCTTCGTCAGCCAGCCAGCAATACCGTTGTCCCACTAAGTGAAGTAGGGTAATGAAATGAAAACACTGAACTAAAAACTAAAAGAATGACTACCTGTTTAAAATCAACCATAAAATGTGTGGCCTGGAACAACCATGGCCTCTCAAAATGGGTAGCCTCTCTGATCCCGAATGTCTTCAATGTAACTCCAAGAAATGGAACTTCAGAGTCTCAACTGATAGGGAGAAAAGGATCTAAAAATATTTAAAAGGTATAGGAAGTCACAGCAAGAATATGTGTCAAAGTGGGAGTAGATACAGCTCCCTGGAAAAATCCATGGCCCTGGAGGGACTGGGATGAATCACTTGACCAGATTCCTTTCTGCCAATTTTTGGATGATGTGACTGTTAAACAATTTTAAAGAAGTATGGGGTTTGGCTGGGAGGCATCAGAAGGTCATTTCTAGGAGGGTACTCACACAAAAGACTAAAAATAAGAATGAGCCAAGTCACGCGCATCGGAAAGTTATTCTGGCTGGATCAAAGAGCTCTAGGCAGGGTGAAAGAAACTGAGGATGCTTGACCTTGGAAAGAGCCGGTCATGTTTTCAAACAGTCTGTTGTTCATTGAGTCTGCCAAACCCAATGTACGTTTTTAAAAACAAATGCTGACATATTATTTTTATATATCGTAAAGTCTGATTCTTGATGTAGTCTGTTAAAGTATTTTTAAAACAATAATTGAAGTTTACTAGCAATAAAGAAAAAGAAGGGTGCTAATATTACTTCAGCACTATGGTGCACAATCAATCACTATCCCATTATCTCTTAACTCACTCTTTACAATGATCCTATGCAGTAGATGTTACAGCCCCTGATTCATAGATTAGGAAACTGAGACCAGAATAAAGGACTTACCTCATGGGTCCAACTACTAAGGTGCAACACCATAATTTGAACCCTAGTTAGTCTGAGAATACAGCCTCATGTTCTCTATCATACTGTACTGTAACTCAAAACAGATATGAAAAACCTTTTGGTTTAATGATCCTCAATAAAATATTTATTCCCTTAAATAGCTGGCTATCTTCTGTGATCACCAGGATGCTTATCGAAGGAACAGTGATCATCAATTTTGACATTTAGCGGGAACAATTTTTTTAAAAAACGTATGACCACTTTGACTAGAAAAGATATTTTTCACCATATGCTATGAGCCACCACCTTAAGTAATGCATCTTTTAAAATCAAAGTTTATGTTTCTTTACTTGCCAGCTTTGAGTGACAACCCATTTTATGCTGGTATCCACATAATACAAGCTCCTAGTAAACAATACAGATCAGAATAATTTCGTTGCTTAGACCTGCAGCAATTACTCCATTTAATGACTTGAGGAGAACAAAGGAAACATAGGATGGGCATTCCACACCATGATGGTGGAGTAGTTACACTGAAAGGTCAGAGAAGACCAAAAGCCAAATATTGATTGCTTCATGCAAGTCCACAGTAAGTGAACTTGATTTGCAGAACGAGGTGGCCTAATTCCAGGGGAAGGTTGCATATAGATAGTTGCCTTCATCAAAAACTCTTATACACAGAAAACTGTCCCAGGTGCGTGCACATCATGGCACCTCCTCAAGTCTTTGTTATCAATATTATTAAGAGTTAATGTTTTGGAGGGCACTTACCAAAAGCAGGAACTGTGCTAAACACTTTATAAACATCTATCTTCCTTTAATTCTCAAAGTCAGCCCCAAGAGGTAAGTATTGTACTATAATTAAATCTGTTTTCCAGGTGAGACAACTAAAAATAGAGAGGTGGTGTCTATTAACTCATCAGTTATTTTACAACATTCTAGAACAGCTTCTCAAACTGTCTTGAGGACCTAGTTTTATTTGTTTGTTTTTTAGCTTTATAATATGTTTTTTGAAATTTTTAAATTTAAAGCTTTGGGTTACAATACAGGGTTAGGTCTACAAGTGTTCATTATGCAGGTACGCTGGTTGAGGGTCTAGTTTTTCTCCAGTTTATCAAGGACATATTTGTAAAGTAAGATAAGACGTGAAATTTTTAAAGACAAAGACAGAAAATGTAAGCCCCTAATTTGTTATGATGAGATTATGATAGATATACAATGACTATGTTAAATTAATATAAAAGTACCTAAATGCTTATTTCTAATTTCTGTACTTACTACATCATGACATGTAACAAAAGTTTGAGGACCCATGCTGACTTGCTGTCCACATTTTGAGTAGCACTGTACCTTAGGAAGTCAATATTAAAAGCCAGGTATGTACAAAGTCCAAGTGCCGATTCCCAATTCTAGGACACCACGCTTTCCATGTATTCTAAGCATCAGCCATCATTATTATTACCATTATTCCACTGCATTTAGTTCTTCTCAAATGATGTATATTTATTAAGATCAACAATGTAAATCTTTACAGGCTATTTAATTATCCACATTGTGAACTTAACACCATGTATTTTTATAGCATAAAACCTAATTTCTTCTTTAGATTATCAACCCATCAATCAGAACTCATAAACCTCTTATGTCCTGAATCATATTGAGAACACTATAGGTGCATAATAAAGGCTATTAATTGGCATGTGTACATTTACAATGACCACATTTG